TGGCATGTGCACACAGAAATAAAGATTATATATTGTGGATTTGGGTTTGAATAGGCCTAATTAGTACATAATCTACCATGAAGTTTATGCCCTTAGAACATTGATTAAGAAGCAAGAAATATTCTTAAATTTTGGTTTTATTCTTCATTCTGGATACATTGCTTGTTTCCTCATGTACCTTTGTAAGAAAGTAATGCTGATGATTGCATTTATCTTTACATATACATCACAGAGTTCATCTGAATTCTATACCCTAAAATTACACTTCTCAGTGCTAAAATAACATATATAAATATAATGTGGTAGTTTGAAAAAACTAACCTAAACACTATCTTATTTTTATAACAGAAAATTTCATTCCACACTCACAAAATATATACATGAAAAGCTTCCCATATAGTGTTATCTATCATTCATGTATTTACCTATCTATGATATATTTCATCCTTTTAGTGTAAAAAGACTACCTAGTTGACCAGCAATATGGAAATATTGCAAAATTGAGTGGTTTGCTTACCTGCCATTAGGCCACATTTACTTTCATTGAATTCATGGGGGCAGCTGCATCACTGGAAGTGTCTTATTTTTGCTGACCACAACTTCAGCAGAGGTCCTGCCATATCTCTAACTCTTGGCTCCTGTGGTGAAGTCTGGATGCACCTGGGTTGAAAACAACTAGTTCCATTGATAGGGATCTGGTTTCTTCTGTTTTGTTTGATCTGGGTATACTTAGCCTCCATCTGTCTGTCATCCTAGAACAGTGTCCAGAGATAGGTGGTTATCTCCTGGGAAGGAAGGTTAAGTCTCCTGGCATGAATTCCATTCAGCAACTGAACAGGCAGGGTGGTTTGGAGATGGGCTTTTATTCACAGGAAACCAGATAGCCATTTGGGTGATAAAATATTTATTCCCTATTATCTTGCTGTTGCCAAGACTACTGCATGTAACACTTTTCTTAAAAGGAGACAGAATGCTAAAAGGATTACACATTTTTAATAGGAAAAATTTTATTTTGAAAAATATCTTGTGTAACATTCTATTGTTCAGAACTAGGTATAGTTTACCACTTAATGTTGATTGAAAGCATGTCATGTCTTCCTTTAAACCAATACCTTTTCTGTTTCTTTTTAATCATTGCTTTCTTCTATGAGCCATCTTTAACTTTATAGCTTGAGGAAGTGAGGCTAAATTGTTCTTAAGGCAGCTAAGGGAACTAATTGGTACAAACTAGGGTTAGCTTTCAGTAAAAATTTGACATCTGTACATGGATATTTTGAAATAACTTCATTTTATTTAACATATTTTTAGCTATTTACAGAGTACTGGGTACTCATAGTAGCTTCTAGTAATCAGTACTTTTTCTTAAGTGTGCAAGAAACCTGTGTTTTAATCATCCCTCCCTGGAATTTTACCTGGAATGTGTATTAACCAACTAGTTTAGTTTGTAAGGTTCTGTCTTATTCCCACTTTGGGAGTATAGTATCCAAAGATCTTAAAAATAATCTCCAACCTCCAGAAACTGTTTAATGGGATTCATTAGCAAACAAACACACAGCATTATACACCAAGCAGGTTCTGATAAGCACTGTGTTGGAAGTACAAAGTAGTAGAGGGGTATGGAAGAGGAAGTGATTAATTCTGACTGGGGGTTTCCAGAAGGTCTTCAAGGAAGATGTTAACCTTGATCCAGGTATTGAAAAATAATAAAAGGAGATAACATTTGTTGAGTGCTTACCAAATGCCAACAGCTTTAAACTTACTGGCCCTTTTCATTCTCGTGATTAACCTTTTAAGCTAAGTCTTGTTGTAAATTTTGTTTTACAGTACACAAGCAAAGCACAGAATAGTTAAATAACTTGACAAAGGTCTGCAGTAGTAAGTGATGGAGTTAGGTTCAAATTAAGGAGTCTAACACAAGAATATTCATTTTTTATCTATTTTCATTTTTTAATTTATTAACATAAAGACAACAGATTTCATGTATTTCATTGGTACAATTCTAAGAGAAACATGCTTTCCTCCCTCTGGCTTTCTGTCCCTCAATCTCTTTCATTCTTTCCTTTCTTTTTTTTCTATAATTTTTGCAAAAACATAATTTCAGTCCACTCTATAATCATACACTTAATGCACCACTAACCATAATATTCAAAAGTAAAAAGTAGAACGACCACAGTTCCACAGGAATAAAAACAAAGGCTAAAAACAACAATCAAATCACGAGGTGTCCATTTTACTCCTATATATTTTTGTACTCTGTGTTAACTACCACCTATCAGAAAAAAAAACATATGATATTTATCCTTTTGGGACTGGCTTACTTCACTTGCTCATTCTTAAGTACAACACCTTACTGTTTCCTTTCTGGATAAATGAAATGTTCACAAGCACATTCAAGCAGTGTAAGCATCTCAGTCACAATCATGGAAAAGAGAATATTCAGGAATGTTTGGAAAATCCAAAACTATTGCTGTGACTTGAACTTGGGAAAACCAAAGTTAAAGAATTGTAGAATACATAGAACACAAGTATCATTGGCTTACAGAGGGCTTGAACCAGCACCTTGAGGAACTGCAGGAGGAAGCAAGACAGTGTTGTATCAAGATTTTTATTACATAAGACCTTGTAGAGGAGACAATTGAGTGACTAGAAGGAAGCACATCATTTAGGAGTCTGTTAATTAACCAAATCCTTCAAAATTGTTTGTTGTCCTCTCCTATGTGTCAGATACCATTCTGAGTGTTGAGTTTATAACAGGAAAAAGTCTCCACCTTCATTATGTGCAAAGAATATACACAATATATAGTATAAAAATAAGCAAGCCAGTATTTAGTTTTGAAAGAGAGAAAAAGAGTGATGCAATGTGATGTGATAGAGGGTGACTAGGCAGACTAGTGGCAACACTGGAATGGTAGTAAGAGAAGACCTTGTTGAGAACTGAGGCCTAAATGAGAGGAACCAGTCATGAGTGAAGGAAGAACAAGGACTCAGCAAACTGTTCTCACTATCCAAGTGATCAATTTCTGTTCACAATTGATCATAATGATAGGACTAAGAGTCAAAGGGTCACATAAACAAGACTAGTGTCTGCAAATACTAACAGATAGAATAAAAAAGGGAGAGAACGATCCAACATGGGAAGTGGGATACACAACAGACTCATAGAATGGCAGATGTCCTAAACAGCACTCTGGTCTCAGAATCAGCCCTTAAGGCATTTGGATTCAGCTGAAAAGCCCATGAGAGTATTTCAGGCATGGAAACCCAAGACACTCTGGGGAAAAAAAAAAAATGACCTAAATGAAAGATCTCTGCAAGTGAGATCCTGGTGGAAAGAACAGGTCATCAAAGAAGGAGGTACCTTTCTCTGAAGGGAGGAGAGAACTTCCACTTTGACTATGACCTTGTCCAAATATGATCAGAGTCAGCGAACTCAAAAGGCTTCCATAGCCTTGGCAGCTCATGACAAGAGCCTAAGGTGATTACTGATGCCATAAACAAGAGTGTCAATTTGTTAAGTCAACAACAGGAGTCACTGTGCACTTACTCCTCATGTAGGATCTCTGTCTATAATGTGCTGTACATTGTGATTTAATGCTATAACTAGTACTCAAACAGTATTTTACACTTTGTGTTTCTGTGTGGGTACAAACTGTTGAAATCTTTACTTAATATATACTAAACTGATCTTCTGTATATAAAGAGAATTAAAAATGAATCTTGATGTGAATGGAAGGGGAGAGAGAGCAGGGGGTGGGAGGGAAGTTATGGGGGGGGGGGAGCCATTGTAATCCATAAGCTGTACTTTGGAAATTATATTCATTAAATAAAAGTTAAAAAAAAAGAAAGAAGGTATCAAGAAATCCTGGAGGGATTAGATGAATATTGTAAAAAGTCTAAGTGTCAAGTGGATGGTACCAAGAAAAGGCAAGTGTCACCCAGCATCCAAACAGCCCTGCTTCACAGCCAGGAGCTGGGAATGGGGAGGTCCAGTTTGTGAATCAGATGGTGGAGTTGGTGGGGAACAGGACCAGCCAGCTGTACACATGAAACTCCTTGAGACACGTCCAGAGGTCAATGCTGTTAGTGGCAAAGTTACAAAGCTGACCAAGTCAAATAATGAGACAGTCACACAGGGAAAAAAACAGGACTCCCAAGGGGTCCCAGTGACAGGGCAACACTGAGAATTGGGAGAGTACATCTAATAGTCATCATGATGACTACACTGCCTCAGGACCACCCAAGGAGTAGAAAGAAAAAAAAAATTCAAGGAAAAATAAATGCTCCATGGACAAATCAGAGGGGAAAGCATCCTGTCACCAAAAGGAGCCAGCATCCTGTCTATGCAGTCAGGTCTGCTGTGGAGAAATGATAGCTAAGACTGTGACAAGTGCATGCATGAGATTCAATCAGTAACCAAAGAGCAAGTAGTATTCTACCAAATCTTGAACCGAAAACCATGGACAAAGCCATGAAGAAATGCAAAAAAGAGAAGGCTTATATCATGTAGCATGTGAACATTCATTAATAGTAAGGAGAATGAAGTCAACCAGTGTGGTTGCCTAGCCACCTCCATTGAGGAGCAGGTGAACACTCCACCTGGGGTCTAAAACATTTAGATGTGAATTCTAGATATGCTGTTTACCAAAGCTATAAAATAAATTACTCAATTATTAAAGTCTCAGTTTTATTATCTATAGAATGAGAGAAATGATACATTGCTAATACAGTATGACTACATATAGATGCTTAACACATAGGAATCAGAAATAAATATTATCTCTATCTTATAATAATTATAAGACTAACAATATCACTTGGGCTGTATTTCATTTACATTGGATCTTAGTTACTCTAATTAACTCGGAAGGCTTGCCTAACTAGTCAACTTATAACATTAAAACACCTTTACATCATATTGCCATTTCTCTGGGATCTATGCCTTATAAAAATGTTATTGCAAATTGCCACAGTATGAAGCTATGTATTGCATTGATTTCTAGTGCTAGACAATGTTCCTCTCAAGGCCTGTCATTGGAAGAGATGAAAAGAAGTCTTCAGTACTCACCCATTGACAAATATGGTAAGTTGACAGATTCTCTAGATTTATTAAGGAAAAGACTGCCAAGAAGATGATATCTATTTGTTACAAGGGATAAAACCTTGTATTTTTGAGCCGGCGCCGTGGCTCAATAGGCTAATCCTCCACCTTGCGGCGCCGGCACACCGGGTTCTAGTCCCAGTCGGGGCACTGGATTCTGTCCCGGTTGCCCCTCTTCCAGGCCAGCTCTCTGCTGTGGCCAGGGAGTGCAGTGGAGGATGGCCCAAGTGCTTGGGCCCTGCACCCTATGGGAGACCAGGATAAGTACCTGGCTCCTGCCATCGGATCAGCGCGGCGCGCCGGCTGTGGTGGCCATTGGAGGGTGAACCAACGGCAAAGGAAGACCTTTCTCTCTGTCTCTCTCTCTCACTGTCCACTCTGCCTGTCAAAAAAAAAAAAAAAAAAAAAACTTGTATTTTTTAATATCTGGAAATTACAGATACTTTAAAAATATTATTTTATAAAAATGCAAACTTTGATCTTGTAAGTCCTTTATAATTCTCCATTCTCCTTTAAGCCTCATTATGTATCTATGAGTGTGCGTGTGTGCATGTGAGTGTTCATGAGTTGAGAGCATATGTATGGGTATATGAGAGCATGTATGTGCATGTGAAGAGAAAGAACAACTTGTTTATTAAAATAATCCCCTGCTTCTTGTGAGATTCCAAACATTTTGTCACCATTTTGTTGAGTCCATTGCCTTTGAACTTCATGTTACGGGTGTATAGGTAGAGAGAAAAAAAAATGAAAAGGTGACTTGCCACAGTTGCATCATATGCTGGGGAAACCCTTCTCTTTAGCTAGCACCTACCGAGAAAACCTAAACCCAGCTCTTCCTTCAAACAGCTGGAGAGGAAGCCTGTGGCAAACCGGTGGGATCAGTGTTGTACAGGACTGCTTCAGAAAGAATGGAGAAAGCTCCTGGAAATAATGAAGAAAGTTCACGTGGGCTTCTGGGTGCCAGAGGGTGGACAAATGCCTTTCCCATAAGCTGCCATATGAGTGTGCCAGGGCTGTGACGTCCTTTCTCCAACCTTTAAGCCTGAGAAGCTTAATGTTTAATTGGAATTTTAGCACAATGGGCCCATTTATTCATGGCAACTACTTTCGATTATATGGAGGATTGAAAAAGTGTCTGTCAGAGATCAGATTTATTATAAGAGCTGGCTTCGGGGATAATAAATTGGATGATGTGCAGTAGCTGGTTCTCTGATACAAATGCCAATAGTCCCTGGAAACCCTTGACTTTGGGATCCTCATCAGTGTACCTCATCTGCAGATTCTCATTACTTAAGGCAACAAGAATCTTTTAAGAAAGAAAGAAAAAAATTGTTCTTGGTAGATGCAGACAAACTACAGGGATACTTTAAAGAAAGGAAAGGTTGTGCTTCTGCCTCCCGCTGTATGTCAAGAATGCAGCTTCATGCTTTTTATCATCTGCTTTATAATGTAATTGGCCAGTCCAAGAACAGACCCTTTGGAGCGAAAACTGTGGTCCAAGTGTCACATCATCATATATTTTTAAAAGATATAATACCATTTTCTCAAACCTTTACAGATGTGAATTCACAACCACAAAAATACAGGCATCTTTTGAAATGTGTACTTTGACCAAAAGTCTTTCTTTTCATGGTGGAGTTATAAGATAAAGCATTTCTTTAACAGAAAGGTCTGTTTCTTAAAGAAGCAATGTTTCAGGAATTCCCCAGGATGGAAAAGACAAAAGTGATATAGAAATATTAAAGTTGGATTTCCCTATGCTTATTTGTACCAGTAGCAGAGGAAAACATTAGGCTGTTTGAATGGAGTAAAAATCCCTATAGACAAAGATGGTATCTTTAATATATCCCACCAGAAACATAACATCATACAAGAAAGAATCCTTTAATTGCTCTCTATTTCCATTTCATAAACCAAATGGGGTACAACAGCAGCATTCTGAGATGTTCTTTGCCCCCCACTCCCGCAATGAGCTAATATAGAGCATGAGTACAAAATTAAACACATAGCTGTTTGCTCTCTACTTGACACCTGTCACTCTGAAGTAGCAAAGCATGCAGATATGGTTTGCTGTTTTCCTAAGAACTGTGGTTGTATTTCAGCTGAATCCCTCTTGAACTGATTGGCTACAAAAGTCCAACACGTCTGTCCTTATACTCTGGCAATAATCACGTGGATAATAAATGCCAACCTCAATGCTCTGCTGATTTTATTTCTCGTAATCGAAAGATAGCCCCTCCCCCCCAATATGGGTGGGATGTATGATCACGATTGGAGCTCTGTGGAGCAAGAGAAGCTGGAATCACAGGCCACTGAAACTGCTTGTAGTGCAACTAGGAGGAGTATTATGGTAACAAAAAGATGACCAGTTTATCTATCAATGCCTGAATTGAAATCATTTATGTATGAATGGATTGAAATCATTTTTTTTCAGGCTGGACAAAAGGAAGTATTTTTGCTCTAAGATGTAGATCTTGTTTCAGTCCACCCAGAGTTGAGATACAGTGGTATGTATCTTGCTTCCCCTCACCCTGGCTCCCCAACCACAACCTCCCTCACATCTGCCCAGAGCCAGTCCCACAGAAGGAGAGAGAGGCCGACAGTATGGGCGGCAGAGGCATTTCCTCTGGGGAGAGTTTATGTGGCACCTAAGAGATTTTGACAGAGACCATTCTTATGAAAATAAATATGCCTATCCAACCGTGTCTTGCTAGATGTCCTAATGAAAATGTAGATGGCTAGGTTGCTTCTGGAAACTCAGCTATCAAAAGGAAGCAAAAGCAGCAATAGCCATTGATCAATGTGCCCATTTTCACAGAAGCAATGGATGGCTTCCTTGCTTAGAGCAGAAAAACAGCTATTTCCCTGCACACACACCTGGGTCCTCCACAACAGTGGCCCGCTTCTGAGCCGCTGGGATCATTCTCTGGCCACATCCAGGGCTGTTGTTGCAAAGGGCATCAAATACGGGGATTTAGACCTCAGGACTGATGTACACTTAACATTTGGGCTACCAGCATGAAAAACCCAACAGAGGCAACCTGCTGTGGAAGAAAGTCTTTTCCCTTTTCTTTCCAGCTAGCACCACCTTCCTTTCTTAGCCATCATTGGTTCAGCATTCACTATGCACCTGACACTGCTAGTTGTCTTAAGTTCATTGTCAGCCTTCTATGTAGATACAGATAGTTCTCTTGCTTGCAGATAAAAGCCCTAAGACTTAGGAAGGGTAAGTTGACAAAAGTCCTAAAGCCGGCAAAGAGGGAAGCTTGTGCTTTTAACCATTATGACACATTTACCGTGCTCCTGAAACGTGCCCCTCTATTTCAAGCCCCAAATGCTGCCATCCAGCCATTAGGTTCCTCTAGTCTCTGCTTGCTGTTTTCATTCTAAATCTTGCTATTGCTCTACCACTGTTCACCAGCAGCTCTTGTCCAGACCCGGTTCACGGGATCCAGGAGAGCTGTGTGCTGCACTGATCAGGCTAGGTGAGAAACATGGGGAAATGTACAGAAGGCCACAAGCTAACTACTGAACTTCTTTTCTGATGCAGGCTACGTGTCTGATCCCATGAGCCCGATGCATTTTCATTCTTGCCGGAATAGTGGCAGCTTTGAGGACAGCAGCTGACAGCATTCACCATCTACCTAAGGAGAGTTTTCCCGAAAACTGACAGCAACAATTCCAGCCATGGCAGGCTTGCTTCCAATTAGAATATTTTACCCTCTAAGGTCTCCTTAAATTGGCTTGTTTATCCTGGTCCTGTTTAAGTTCCTATCACCAGTTGGGCTTTGGATTTGTTGGTGAAGGATGAAATGGAAAAAAAAAAAAAAGTAAAAACAAACAACCCAAAAAACAAGAAAGAAAAGGAAAAAAGAAAACCAGAATGTAAATGGAGAATTGTTTTTAATTTTGTAAATGAAATAGCAAATCTATCTTATAACTTGTGGTGGGCACTTAACAGTTATTATGTTTTCCTAGGCTGAATTAAGTAGGTTTGGGTTTGACAACTGTGGGTTTGATTTCTTAGAATGTTTTTCATTTTCTTATCTCATTATGCTACTTCTGGTGTTCAACTCTGTGATTAAAGATTCGTTGGTGGCACAGAAAATTGATTCAGAAGTGTATTTCATTCCAACAAGACTTCCACTGAGTATACCTTCTTTCAGACCATATTGGTAAAGAGGAGTAATGACCTTCAGATCAAGAAGCTTGCAAAGAGATAGCACTTAATTATTGAGTCTCCCTTCCATGTCATAACAAGTGCTCTGTGCTCCACTTAGGCAGCCTGTGGCTGTCAGCCCCACGATGTCAGAAGTGCTGTCAGGTCAGTTATGAAGCCAGCCCACTAATGCAAACCTGCCATTTATACCGCAGTCTGGCACAGAGCTGTGGGAGGATATTTAAGGTGACTGCTGCCTTCCAGAAATGAGAAATCTGCCCTTCCTAGTGATTGCAACTAGCGAGACATGAATAGTTCCACCAGATAAAATATTTTTGCCATTGGTAGACAGATTAGGAAAAGCTAGGTAGATCATGAATCATGAAAATTTAATGGTAATTACTGCTTTTGACCTCAGCAAGAGAAATAAAACCAGCAAAGGAAGATTTGGTCTTCTGTCCTTCAAGATTTCTCAACCTTGGCACCATTGACACTTTGGACAGGATAATTCTTGGTTGTGGGGGTTGTCCAGTGCTCTGTAGGAAGTTTGCTGGTCTCTACCCTCAAGATGCCAGTCCCACTTTGTGTGGTAAGTTTATGTGTCAACTTGAGTGGCTATGGAAGGCATAGGCATCTGGTTAAACATGATTTCTGGGTGTGTCTCTGATGGTGTTTCCAGAGGAGATTAGCATTTGAACCAGCAGACTGAGTGAAGTGGATGGCTCTCCCAACGTGGGTGGCATCAGACAATCTATTGAGGGCCTGAATGCAGTAAAAAGATGATGGAGGCAGGCGAGGACTTGCTCCCTCTCTGCCCAGTGGCTTAAACTGTAATAGTGATTATCTCCTGCTCTATACGATCCTGGTTCTCAGGCCTAAAGTCCTAGTCTGAAATCTATACCATTGACTCTGCAGCTCTCAGGCCTTGAACTACACCACCAACTTTTCTGAGTCTCCAACTTGCACACATCAGCTGATGGGACTTAGCCTTCATTACTGCATATGAATAGATCCCTTACAAGAAGCACACACACAAATGCACACAACCTACCCCATCCTATTGGCTCTGTTTCTCTGAAGGACTCTAACAAATATGCCCCATCATTGAGTCATGACAATCAAAAACTGTCTCATAAAATATGTCTCCAAATATGTCTAGTATGCCCTGGAGGACATACCTGTCCCATGTTGAGAACACAGGGAGGACAGCTAGAGGTTTTAGATTTTAGTTAGGCTTATCTGCTTTCTCCTCCTTCTGGAGTAATGTGGACTCATTTACAAATGGCGTTGCTGATTGGTCCTTGTATGTCTGCAGCAAGCTCCTCACTTGTCCTCTTTCCCCTTGCTAATTAGAAATGGGGGGAGGCAATTTTATCAAGAGACCTGCAGCCCCACCTCTAAAACCCCTAGAGCTGCGTCACAGACCTGTGGTTACAAAGTCGCAAGTTCCCACATGCCAGTAGCTTGTGGATAGATGAATGTGGGTCCAGAGGTAGAAATTAAAATCTTGGTACTTCCAACTAGATTTATCCCTTTTTAGCCTCCAGTCTTTTCAGTCCCCTACCCAATTATTCTGAAGTCAAAGGTACTCCATCCCACCCAGGAAGTTCCCAAAGGGCTTTATAATAAGCACAACCAAGGAGCTTGAGGTGACTGCTCGGGCATAAACCCTTCTGGCAAAGACAGAGAAGGAGAAAACGCAGCTGATTAGAGAGCACCTGTCTCCATAGCTCCCTCTCCACTTTTTGCTCTAGCTACTCTAGGGAATGAGCCAGCACCTAGTCTGGGATACGTGGAGGCTTAATCCATTTATGGGTTGAGTTGCGATAAATACCTTAGAAAAGCAAACAAAAAAGAAGAAAGAAAGGCGTGAGAGTTTTAATCAGAGTTACTGTTATATGCAAAAGCCAAAGGTTGGTATGTTCAGGACAGCAGACAGTGTTGGGGTAAACTAGGTCCCCTCTCCTCCCAGTTTCCCACTGAGAGAAGGTCATACACAGAGGGGGGAACTGCTTGCTCCTAACTGCCCCTCTTTTAGGAGAGAGTTTTCTAGAACAGATTTGTCAAACTCCCTTTCTTTGTTTCTTCTAATTAGCCATCTCCTCTTTCCACACTGCATTTCCTTATGTTGCTGCTTCCCTCTGGCTCTTGTCTTGTCAAGTATCTGCAAATAATGAGACTAATGTGTCTTGATTCCTGAGAAGGGAAACCTTTTCACAGATGCCAACCTGTAGCTTGCAATCCCTTTTCATTACTGCACCCTTAATGGGGCCCAGGGATCATCTTAGAGCTCATCTCAAGATCTCCCCCACCCCCACCACTTGCTTAAAAATGTCTCACTAATTGCTCTCTTTTTCTGCTGGTAAAAATGAACTTCTAAGATCATGTTTTTGCATGCTTAGCACATTTGATTTTTTTTTCACGTGCATGCAGCACTGAGCTCACTACGAAGATGTTCAATTAACTATAATTGTAAGCCAAATTACAGCAGCACCAGGAGAGAGTTATTCCAACAGAGTGATTATTTGGGTTAAATTATTTCCAAAGCTGACATTTCCCTCAGAAACAGAAAAAAAAATGGGTGCTTGTGATAGAAGAAAAGGCTAATGTCAAACAATCCGTCTAAAATGAAAGGTCTGATTTCTCTATTTCCTTTTTTTTCTATTATAAATAATTGATTTAGTTCTGTAAGGTAAATTTTTATACATTGTTTTTTCATTTTTTTTTAGATTTTTTAATTTATTTGAGAGTTAGAATTACAGGCAGAGAGAGGGAGAGATGGAGAAAGGTCTTCCATCTGTTGGTTCACTTCCCAAAGGGCCACATCGGCCAGAGCTGGGCCTATCAGAAGCCAGGAGCCAGGAGCTTCTTCTGGGTCTCCAACACGGGTGCAGGGGCCATCTTCCACTGCTTTCCCAGGCCATAGCAGAGAGCTAGATCGGAAGAGGAACACCCAGAACACAAACCGGTGCCCACATGAAATTCCGGTGCTGCAGGCAGAGGCTTAGCCCACAACGCCACAGCATTGGCCCTCCGTTGCTTTTTCTTAACAATCACATATTGGCAATGGAAATTCAGAATGTGAGAGACCAAAAGCATCTGATTTTGTGCAATCATGATGAATCTGACAGAATTCAAAATCTTGGTATCTTTGGATTGCTAACTCCACTTCTGACACAAATCCCTGCTGATGTACCTGGGAAATCAGTGGTGGATAGCCCAAAAGCTGGGAAAACTGTCACCCATGTGGGAAAACTGGATGGAGTTCCAGACTCCTGGCTTCTTCCTCCCCTAGCCCCAGCCATTGCGGCCATCTGGGGAGTGAGACAGCAGATGAAAAATTCTGTCACTCTACCTTTCAAACAAATAAAATAAGATAAAAATAGCTGTGGTCCCTATTTGTAACAGTCTTGCTAGTATATGGACATATTTCTTAGATTAAAATCCTAGATACTCTATTTCCTAGATGTATGGACCTGATGCAGTTTAGGTACCCCTAGGAATTTACTACCTATTCAGGCACATTGGTATCCATGTAAACATTTTACAAATCAGAAAATCTGACAGACTAGAAAGAAAATGACCTTTGAGGTCACTTGATACATGATTTAAAATTATATACTGGCGGCCGGCACTGTGGCGTAACAGGTAAAGGCTGCCGCCTGCATGCCGGCATCCCATATGGGCACCAGTTTGAGTCCCAGCTGTTCCACTTCCACTCCAGCTCTCTGCTATTGGCCTGGGAAAGCAGTGGAAGATGGCCCGGTCCTTGAGCCTTGGAAGACCGGCGGGGAGGGAGGAGGTCCTGGCTTCTGGATTTGGATCGGCACAGCTCTGGCCGTTGCAGCCATCTGAGGAGTGAACCAGTGGATGGAAGACCTCTCTCTCTCTCTTTCTTTTCCTTCATGCTTGGCAGCACATATACTCTCAGTTGCAAGTATTCACTTCCTCTCCTCTCCTCTCCTCTCCTC